GGGGAGGAAGCAGGAGATCACACGCTATCCTTCGCTATCCTTCACGCTATCCGTCACGTGACTGTTGACTCTACCTTTAAAAGAGGCAGCACTGGTTGATGATATGAAAGCAGACATCGGCGCCGCCCCATAGACTTACTGAGACGAAGTGTACCACAACTGGACCCAATCAGGGAAGTGCAAAGAAACCGACATCCCCAGCTTACAAACTTTTCTTGCATCCTTCCTTCGTCCTTACTTTTACAGATGCCAATATTCTTTATTGATTGATTGGGTGTAGTCGTGCCAATTCGTAGTTTGAATCCGAATTCCTCGGCGACCTCAGTCTCATAGCTTGGCTGAAACAGGTCAGTCACGTGAAACACGTGCTTGAAGAATAGGGCACGTGCGAACTGCATGAATTGACGTTAGATGGCAGAAAGTCAAGATTACAGAAGAAAAAAACCATGAATAGCTTAGTACGCACAAATGAGCTATGATGACGAAACCATGCGATACCATGAAAAATGCCTGTAGGGGCTGACAGCTAATCATCATATTCTTCCATTAAGTCGTTTTACTCATTTTCAGTTTTTATTGATTGGTTGACTCATTCATTCCTAAAACTATCCATTCATTTAATGCCCTAGCCTATTGTTTTTCCCCTGTGGCTTTCACTAACTGAAAAGTTCTGTGGATTTGATACTTATGCCAGTTGTTCCATACGCCTAGCCGCTTCGCCCTCGACTAACCATCAATCGACTGCAGCGTTTCTTTGCTTAGAGTCCATAACCTTTAAAACTGTTCTAAATTCTGAACTGGTGACTGCTGTATATTTCAAAAGGTGAAGGTATATATATATACCTTCACCTTTTGAAACTTTATTTTAATTTACAGTTATTACATTGAATTAAGGCACAGTAAATCACATCATGCTATTAAGATGTGCATGCCTAAGAGGGACTGACTCTATTTTCGTGAATACAAAACTGGATCAAAGTATGAGTTGTCGCAGTCCCGAGGACAGCACGTCGAAATTTTGATATCTATGCATTCATCTACCTCCTGCTGAAATAAAGGCATGGCAAAGGTGCAGGAGCAGCATCCGTGCCCGGATCATGACCTCATAGAGTGTTCGACTGCTCTGAATCACTGTACTGCATGAAGGTTGGGGAGACACAGTCAATAGTTCATGAAGGTTGGCGTTGGCATCAGACTGGGCTGCACTGCCTGCTGAACATCCATCCACCAAAAGCACTCAAAAGCGGCGAAAATTAAGGAAGCGTGGACTTGCGTTCTTTGGGCAATGGAATCGAAGCCACTGGGATGAAGCACAATTATCTGCCCTTATATGGAGTATGACATTTTCTCTACAGGATTTTAATAGCTGTTCTTTTTACATGTGGCCGAAGGCTGTGTGTCAAAACAGTTTGATTTTCAGATAGCAGGCAATCAAAAAGAGCAGAGCAAAAGACTGGAACGTAAAAATTCAAAGACAGCTATGACAACAGGGAAAAGATGGAATCAGTCTGCAGGAACTGCCTTCACTATATAAGAAAATTAGATATCGTACGATTTATTAAGGCAAAGAAAGTGGAAATTGTCATGATGCTGGCATCGCTGGATTTAAAACATCATCAAAGACATTGAAATATCTCAAAATATTATCTGAGATATATGCTAACTGCTGCTAGCTGCCGCAATCACATTAACGATCGTAAACACATCTGCTTTCTCATGTCATTTTTAAGAATTGTAATCAGCTTCAAGATGGACTCAGATTATTGATAACGCAATTGGAAGCCTCTGAAAAATTGTCACTCTGTGTAATTTTTTCTAGAAAAAAAAATGAAAGTTCGTAACCGTTGAAATAAAGGTGCTACATTTACATGACGGGACATTTTGGTGCCTTCCTTTGCTTGAAGTCGTTGATGGGGCCCTGATCTCTATTTCCAGGTCATCAGCCAGGAGTGCCATATTTCAGGCAGGCAGGTAAGGACGATTAAGTGGACGTCTATGGGTCACCTGGGTCCCAGGTGATAACTCGGAATGCACACCTGTTACCCTTCTGAGAATCAACATGACCAGTCCATTGTTTCTCCTCGAATTGTTGGCGCCAATGAATACATCC